CCTGCTCTCTCGTGCCGAGCCGAGCCGAGCCCGCGCTCGCGCGCTGGCGCTCTCTGCGGCGCGCCTGCGTTGGCGCTGGAGACCCGCGTCGCTCTGCGCGGTGCCTACGTGCGGGGCTTTTTTGGTTTTCGCCTTGACAGGTGTCCAGTGGAGGCGGGAGTTTATTCGTCCCGGGACAATTAGTTTGGGTACTACTGCCTAGTGATTTGAGAAGTTGACGGGAGGGATTTTTCTGAAATATATTTGCTAAAGCTACTCAAATCTAGCTTAAATGTGAAAGTCCAAATTTTTGTACGCTCTTCGGCCTACCTAATTTGGATTTAAAATATACTATTTTTCCTTAATACTAGCTAATTGATCAAACACTTTCGAAATAAATGATTTTTATTTTTACATTAGGCCTATTATAGTACATACGTGCGGGACCGGAGAATACAACTCATACTATGGGGCATACTAATGATATGGAGATAAAAATAATCTCTCCTGAAGCATGTTTGCCCTTAAAGGAATGTTTCTTATTTTCAATTGCGAAAATGAGAGTTCTCTTGAACAATTAAAAGTAATCGTGAACTAGAAAAATGGGTATTGCAATGCTTTTTGTAACAATCGAAATAAGTAATTTTGCTTCTTCATTTTCTCTTACGGTCATTTGTGAATGGATGTAATAATATTTCTGCAGTTAAAATCAAAATATCTTAATACAATGCTACAAAATATTTTGATTATTGTACATGCTGGTAATATTCTTTACATTCTAAAAAAATCTGCTAATCCTTCACAGCTAAACGTATTATAAATTTCAAAATCTGAACAAAATAAATTTATTCTGAAACACTGCATTGTTAATAAAAGAGTTCCCAATTATTTTAACATATTTAGAAACAAATTTAATTTTAAAAAAATAATTAGGGACCTCTATGCAGCGAAGGCTCTAAACATGTTCTTCCTCAGCTTGTGGGATTATCCATTCCTTTCCAGTCCGTAGCGAATCGTTACAACCAGCTGCGGCTTTTTTCAGGAAATATCCTTTATGTTTTTGTTTGGATCGATTCTGTCACGCGTCAAACCGGTGATTGACAAAGCGGGTTGCTGAATGATCGTTAAAACATTTTCCTTCGATATCGCACGAAGATACTTTGATCGTGAAGCATTTGTTACATGTCGGTTACAATTGCTAATTCACGACTTAGCTTGCTAATTTGCACAATAGTCGCACGGTTTGGATAAAACTGTCTGAATAACAATGAACACATCATTTAAGGCATCATTTGGCTAATTTTAGCATTGGCTCCGAGGCTGTGGATAAAGTAAGGTGATTGTCCGAGTGTGGAGCGTCTTGTGAGCTTGCGAGAAGTATTTTGGATTAATAATGTGCACGAACGCATTGTTGTTTTATGTAAATGGCAAAGAGGAACGCCGGTACCCCCGTCATTCCAACTCGGAAATACGTGGGGAAACTTCAAATGAGGTATACAGTGATATGAGGTTGGGTTACCAAGCCATGTACTCCTGTAAATAGAAATTTGCGATTGTCGCAGCAGAACTCGAGCTAGACACCGTGCTTCCCACTAACCTGAAGGTGGTTCCACTCATTCGTTATTCGGCGAGTAGCGAGCAACCGCTCGCTCCATCGCCAGTAGTATGTATGATATGCTTGCTATTTGTCGAGTGACGATCACTGGGTTCTCGCTCTACCCACCGTGTGTCGGTCTTTAGGACACATCTAAGGAAGTGAACACTCGCCAAAGCCCCCCAGCTGTTCAGATTTGGGCGAGCAGTAAGTAGCTCGCTACTCGGCGAATGCTGAATGTGTGGAGCCGCCTTTAGACTCTTACCCACCAGCAGTCTCATTTCTGTTTATCACATAAAATCTGCTTTTTTTTCATTACCGTGATGTACTGTCACCTACCTAGCTATCTCGTTTTGGCAAAGTTCTGCTAAAGGCCGAAATTTGCTTTGGAGCTTTACTTGGAACTTCATCGATTCATTTTTGTCAAGTGTACAGTATATTAAGAAGCAAATTCGCGAATTCGCCAGATTCGTACATTAGCCGCAGCTTTTTCCAGACATGCAGAACTTCTTATACCCGAGCAACAATGCTCCCGTATTTTATGTAATTAAAAAACTGGGTTTAAGGATTTCTTAAAATTTGTTTGTACTGAAACATTTTCCGTAGATTAGTTGCTTGCTATAAATATTTGCCGATGCCTAACATTCGGTGGTCGCTCTATCAGAAGTGTTGTTTTTTTGGTTTCAAAACTTTCGTCGAGCACCTCGTCTGCACGGGATTGGCCAAGCAGTCGCACAGACCTCGTTGAATGCCGCAAATGTGGCGCCGCCTTTAGACAGCCCCGACCCGGAATCCCGCAACTCATTCATTTGATGCATACCATTTCTCCCCCGCCAGGCAACTTTGGGGATCAAGGGCAAAATATGTCAAGTAGAGTGTTGCAAATGAAATTCAATAGGTGTTTACTGGCAGAACAACGTGTATAGAGCCATGGCACGACGCGGCTATTTTTATTGCATCGCACACCAAATTTATATGAACAGAATTCTTTCGACAGTCCTTGTACGAGTACATTTTCAAAATGTAGTGCCAATGGCCCCAGTGGCCTTCGTGGAAATTAGAGTCCGCCCCGTATTCAGCACCAGTTACAAAAATTTGGAACGAAACAATTCGTATGTATCGATATCCGAGACTATATAGTATTTAATTTGGCTATTTTTTTTTTAAATCTTGGTATTCTAAAATCGCCATAATATATCGAACTACAACTAACCTACTAGTATCTGAAAGCTATAGCATTTTTGAAAGTTCCTAAACAGTTATTTCGAAATACCGATACCATATGTTTTATTCATAATAACAGTTTATCGATTTTTGCAATCGATTATATTGCGCTATCGATATATCTTTTCTTTTTTTTAATGTGAACTCCTTGCTGTCTAGTTGTTCGCCTAGCAGGCGCGTGGGGCAGTCTCCCCTCGTAACTCTGCGGTCCTCCAATTCGGGGGCGGGCCGGACCACCCGGCGGCCGGGGCTTCTTCCCGAAAGCTAACGTGGAGCGGGCGCTTTTAGTCACACTGGGTCCAGTCTTAAAAAAAACCGGTGTATCGAAATACTGGTATGCGGTATATAACCGCATGACCTAAAACATTGCCAAAACTGACCAATAAAATTCTCTCAAATGTTTTTAAACTGCCCTAAAAGCAAAGAAAAATTACGGAAAAATGTTTACCTAAATTACCTCATACGAACAACTCAAGCTGTTTAATATGTTACTGATGTAATCGAGACTTTTTTTTCTTTTGTTCAAGTGAACCCAGCTTGCAAACTTTTGGTTTGGGCTGTTCTTTACAAGAGAATATATGCTTTTATTTATCGCGAAATCTGCTGAACGCGGCCGATAGGCGTCCTTGGAACCTTAGATTACCTAGTACTCACACCTGAGCGAAGAAATCGTATATTCTACTGAGGAATTCTGTTGTGAACATTTGTTGCATCTCGTAAATATTGTTTGAAGCAAGTACCATTAAAATGATATTAAAATTGATGAAATCAGCAAAAATATGCATTAAGATGACGTAAAAAGGTACAAAATTACTTAGCCGAAATCGATTAAAATGAAAAAAAGACATATAATGGGTCATTTCCTTTTGTTATAATATAAAATTAATTTCTATACTAGGCGGCATTGTTCTAAAGTGAAAAGAAAAGAAATGACTTTCCATTATAAAACACCCCCTAGTGATGAAAATAATATTTATAAAATGGAAAACGCTGGAAGATATTTAGATCTTGCTGCGGTACACGATAATGTGTTGTTCTGAGGTCAACGTGGAAGCTTGCATTTTGCGAAGTTTGAACACCTTGTGTTTATGTTCGCGTTTACTTTCACGTCCGACGATGTGAATGGTCCCATTGAATAATATGTCACCAAGATGCTTCCTTTACGATGAACTTTAATTCAAGGCCGTTGGCAGGACAACGTTATTGGGGAGGGGACGACCCAACACTTGAGGTATCGCCTGTCGGGAAGGCTCCTCCAGTATACTACACATAGAAAAAGTATTGGGGGTACCCTACCCCCACTTTCGGCGGTGATGTCCATAGCTTCATTGTGAACTGTAATTCTAGCAATATCTGAATTAGGGACACGATATAGATGATTCAAAATTAAAGCATCGATATTATTAATGCATCACCCCAAAATCATCGATGTTTTCAAACATCGATAATTATTCAATTATAATTAAGATTTAGCGAGAAAAAAAAATGAACTAAAACGTGATGGGAACAATGGACAAACTGACGCCTGGACGAATGTGGGCTCAGCGACATCTGAAGAGGCCAGAGCGTCTCTCAGTTCGCCGTAGGAAGCCCTACGCTTACTGCATATGCGTTGACCGCCTCTAAGCCTGCGAAATACGAGGAAAGACGAGCAAGGACATCCGGGCCATCTCTCGAGGGGAGTGACAGTCTGCTTGACGAAGGTAGTATAAACAAGAGTTCACTTCGTTCGAAACCAAGGCATCGTCAGTTATTAATTCGTATTTTAACTTTTACAAAGTTTTTTCAACTTTCCCCCCGTCAGTAACCCTGGCGAGGCGGGAGTTTATTTCCTTGTTGGGGTACAACATACGCCGCAGCTCTATGGCTTATGCGGCAAAGAAGGGGGCAGAACTTACTTACTAATTTATTTCTAACTACTATTCTACTATCTATTCTACTAACCACTATCTATCTAACTACTAACTAACTATTTCTAACTTATTTCTAACTATTTACAAAGTTGTTATTATGAAACTTAGTTATACTCAAACAAAACATCGGAAACGCAAAACCTTCGGGAACAAAACATCGATGTATAAAAAAGCAATCGTTTTTAATCAATCGATGTTTTAAACACCGTAGAAATGTAAAACCATGGATGTTTCAACAAAGCAAGTGTTTTCATCAATTGTTTTTGAGCACGGCCCCCTGCGCTGCGCAGGCGAACGTGGAGCAGGCGCTGGCGGCGTTCGAGGCGGCGGCGGCGCGCTCCCCGCAGCGCGAGGTGCAGCTGCTGTGCCTGCACGAGGCGGGCTGGTGCCGCCTCATCCAGCTGGACTGGGCCGCCGCGCGCGCCGCCTTCCTGCAGCTGCGCCGCCGCTCGCGCTGGTCGCAGGCCTTCTACGCCTACCTGGCCGCCGGTGCGTCCGCTCTTCAACTCTAATATCGGACGACCATTGATGAAATATTGGTCAATGTGGATATAAAGGAACAATTAACAAATTGTTTCTTTAACCATATTGTCTAATCCCGTGAACTAGTTTTATATTACCGGATGTGCGATATTACGCTAAATTGATATCTCGTTAGCGAAGTAAGGCTTTCTCGGTATTCATTTAAGAGGAAAAAAATTTCAGTTTTGCAAAAAACAGCTTGGGCTGGTCGCAGGCCTTCTACGCCTACCTGGCCGCCGGTGCGTCCGCTCTTCAAACTCGAATATCGGACGACCATTGATGAAATATAAAATTCGTTCACGGGAATTGGTCAATGTGGATAAAGGAACAATTAACAAATTGTTTCTTGAACCATGTTGTCTAATCCCGTGAACTAGTTTTATATTACCGGATGTGCGATATTACGCTAAATTGATATCACGTTAGCGAAGTAAGGCTTTCTCGGTATTCATTCAAGAGGAAAAAATTTTCAATTTTGCTAAAAACAGCTTGCGCTGGTCGCATGCCTTGTACCACTACCTGACACGCCGATGTGTCTGCCCAGAACTCAGAATAGCACAGCGCAGCAAACTTCTCCAAATTCCTCTAAAATGGTCACTTAAAATTTGCTAATTTAAGACGAAAAACAACGAAAAAATCACTACTGTACTGCTAACGCTACTGAAATTGCTGAAATTGAAATATTTTGCTAACTTTATATCAAGTTGCCGAAGTATGACTTTTTCGATATCAGTTTAATTGCGATTTTTTTAATTTTACTAAATAATTAGCAACAAAAATCAATATTTTTTATTTAACTAATATTCATTCTAAATTTTCTCATTTTCTTGGAATTATCGGGCTAATTTGACTGCATATTAGCAGAATATCACATTTCTGGTTTGATTTTAAGAGTTACACATTTTCTTTTTTTTAACAAATTGACAATTTTGTGTGATTATTTTTGAGTAATTTCGACAATTTTTTCTGTTTACTTTTTTCTGCTAACTTTATGGAGGTTTAGCCTGCAGTGTAGCTGCTTCTGCCTCTCTCTCCCCCCCTCCCTCCCTCCCTCTCCCTCTCCCGTCCCCTCCCCCTTTATCTGCACCCATTTTTCCTTTATACCGGCCTAATGAGATTAATAACTATATTATTCTACTAGCTGTGCTATGCAAGTTCACAGTAAAATATATATTAACAGTAATAGTTACCGGTCTGTTCCATCCTCGAGCATAAAAAGCTTCATGAAAAAATGTCAATAAAAATAAGTTTTTAAAAAGATTTCTTTCGTTTCAAAATGAGGCATACTTAATTCCAGCCTGATGATTCAAGTTCAGTAATTTCGAAAAGGTACAGAGAGATAATTCAGTGTTTTGTGCCTGATCTGCATTTTTCTATAATTCTTACAGAATATTCTAGAAGAAAAACCAGTGCTAAATCAATCATGCCAAGAAAAATCGCATGAGCTATTTATTTAGAAGGTACTACTAAAAAAAAACAAAATGCATTTTATATGATTCCTCGTTCTCTCTGCATTAATAATAATAATAATAATAATAATAATAATAATAATAATAATAATAATAATAATAATAATAATAGAAAATAAGAAGGGTTTTTTGAAAATTCACTTCGAATGTTCTGAAAGGATCCAAGAAAAAGCGTAATTTCCCCGCCAATAATTTCCTCGACACAGGCGCGTCGAACGACACCTCATATGCATTGATAGTGCTAATACTAGACCGGCTAGCTGAAAGTAGCGGATACACGGTCAAACTCAGGGTTTCCTGATTAATACAGAGAATAATTATGATGCGTTCTATGGGATTGGGGTCAGGTTTCAAGAATGAAACATATTTTAAAACAACGACGCTTCGGGCCCGTGTACGAGTAGCCTTCATCAATGTTTTTCCTTTAAATATCATTCATAAAGCTAAGCCACTCACCACGCCCACTAACATCGCTCATGGCGATTCTCTCTCTACACAAACATATGTTGCACATTTTGTCCTCTACTACCCTCTTGCAATTGTGTGTGTTTTATACAAGTATCAAAGAGTGTCTGTACGTAAAGATAATCGCCATTATTGATCGTACTGCACATAAGGCTAAATGTCCCGATACTAGTACAATTTCGGCCACCACCGTGGCCAGCACCAAAATAAGTAATTTACTTTACGATAACGTCTGAACCAATGGTCCGATTTTCGATCTGTAAACGGCATTTGACGCTTTTTTTAAATAGAATTTACGCTACGATGCCCCTTTCCAAAATCTATCAAAATTCAAATTTGAAATTAGTTCTCAACTTCGCAGAAAAAAATTAAAAAATGGGGCTTATAGCGCGATGGCGACATGTGCTGAATCCAACGCCGTGACAATCATGCAAATCGCAATGAATAGAGCGTCGTAAAGTGAAATTTACGAAAACACCGCCCCCCTCCCCTTCTGCGCCGTTGCGTCACCCGATTGTTGTGGGCCCTCGTCGGCGCGGGGGCACGACCTGGCCAGGCCAGGCGGCGTGGCGCGCCAAACCCCGGCGAGCAGGCGGGACTTGCGCGGTCATACGTGAGCCAGACAGTCGGTTTATGCTTTCGTCACTTTGCATCTCAATCTACTTTTCTACAGATACCAAACTAGAGATGCTATACTGCTATTACAGACCGACTTAAACGGTCGCAATAGTAGTACATAACTATCTTTTCACTATTTCCGTCTTCCTTTGAATACCATATTAAAATTGTTTGAGACATTACTTCAAAATATCGATTCCTATTCTGGAACTGGTTTATAAACAATTGAACTAATTGCTGTAAATATCACCATTAGTCCATCTCTTCTCACATCTTATTTTAGACATATTTTACTTCTAAGGTATTCCGTTTCATTCCACCTTACTCAAATCTCCGTTGTCACATACCGGGAAGAATGAAGCGGAGTATACACACGAGCTCTTTTATCTACAACTTTTGGCATTCACAGATTCTGCAAGCCATATTTTGCTCCAAAAATAGGTGAGTCTATCCGACCTGCCCAAAGAAGAGAAGAAATCTGCGACCAAGCACGATTCTATTGCAGCCAGGTCTGTACTGAAAATCATCAACTTAATCACCAACAGCACTTGCCAACCTGCAGAATATACATGTCTTTAGTGGCAAAATTTACTGGGGGAAAAACAAAATTAACAGAGGCAAACGAGGTTCTTTTACCCACAGACAAAAGCTGCCGGTTTAGACTTCAGTTGAAATTGTATTCAACTATTGAGACAAGAAATCTTATTTTTATGTTTTTGTCGAATGAAAGTCCTGCGTCTATTGTAAGCAAACAGGCGAGAAGAAGAGAAACGAAGAGCAGCTTGCAGAAGGTCGCCTCTTCAAGGCACGGCAGAGGGGAAAGAATGGTAGGAAAGTTAAGATCTGGGCAGCGTATCATAAGATAGCCAGAAGGTTTAGCTTGACACGGTGTATGTGCCTATGCAGGTGGACATGGAGGATAGCGAACTGACAACAATGAAAGAGAAGAAGATCTTGCAACTGTCACTTAATAAAGAGGAAATAGTGGAGCTTGAAACAGCAACAAGAGGCAGGCAGAATCTGAGAGGTGGCACATGGAAAAAGAAGACAGGCTCACGCGTCAATTTCGGATATGTTGTAAGAGGCAGTCTAATAAGTGGGCTCCTGTCGCCAAAAGACTGCTGTATTGGTGACTTCCGGTCAAGTGCCAATGATGTAGGAAGCGAGAAGAATCACGCGCTATTAATTGTTTTCAAAAAAAAAAACAGTTCTAATTGTTGACAAATGCGGTCTCTTTGTACACCCAATTCATGGGTTTCTTGGAGCTTCCCTGACGGTTTGATCGGAGAAGATTCAATATGAAATAAAATGTCCAAATCAGAAAAAAAATCATGTCAATACAAGAGGCATGCAATAACAAAAAATTTCTGCATTTGACAAAAATTGAAATTGAAAAAGCTATTATTATTTATTATTATTATTATTCATTATTATTATTTTATTATTATTATTATTATTATCAAATTCAGGGCCAGCTTCAACTCGCAGGAAAAGAAGTGCTATTTCGTTGTATGTCCCCAAAGTGACACGCATCATGAAATATTTCACCGCGATGACGATTTCTGGGAGAAAAAAATGATACAGAAACTTGTGTTCTGCTACAAAGAAGTGCTCCTACCTGAATTTTGGATCCTCGAATGACGAATCTGATGGTCTATGTAGTTAGATTTTAAAAACTGCATTAAATTTTTACTATGCGCTCTGGAAGAACCTAATTAGGAAGGTTCATTAATTCCTAGGAAACTGCTAGTGTTTTCGTTCACTTGAAATGACTCTTGTGTAAGTGTATAATGTAATCGACAATAAGTATTTTTGGTTCAGAAAACAAAAAGCTCCTCTACACACCAAATTTCGTGACAGTGAAACCTAGTAGCGTTTTAACTTGTTCTTTTAGTAACCTATTTAAAGAATAAAAATACATTTTGATACTAATTAAACGGTTGAATGCTATATCTGCAGCCATTTGTTCATTATGACGTTTGTGAGCGTTTGCAATCGATACTATCGAAGCAGTCGTGGTTTCGCCCATCTCGCCGCAAGCATGAGATTACAGCTGGTAAACAAAGGGAGAACAGTGAGTTTTTATAAGTTCCAAATACGAAGTGTTAGAAATATCAATGAGTGAATATGAACGCAACGACAGTAATGGTTCGGCACATGATTCCCTATAAAAAAAAACTTTTCGGTAATGTATAGATACAAATTTTCACAGCGCATAGAAAATCGAAAGAAAACTGTGCAGTCTCGGGTCCTTTGAGAGATACAATGGTTAAGATATCCATGAACTCGGGAAAATTTTCAAACAATATATCTTTTTCGATTTGCACTTAAAAGTAAATGTATATGCACATTTCTGTATAATATTGGTTGCGAGCAGGCTGACAATACAGCGGACGACATGCAACAATCAGCGCCTCCAAGGAAGATGTAGCCACTAG